TCGGATTTAAACGAATAACGCTGTCGATGCGTTATAGTAAGTTCATTTAAAAAAAGTAAATATCACCCTTGAGCTTTACATCGAACTTACGTTTTATAACCGTTATCTTTTTGTTTTGTTTTTTCTCTTTTAACTTGAGGGGTTTTTGTCGTTTGCGGAAAGAGAAAGAGAGGGAGAGAGACAGAGAAATGCAGCACCGACAGATTGATGAGCGCCGACTACGCCTCATATATCTCATTTCTCCAGCATGTACGCGTACACGCTCGCTGCTAATTCCAATGGGGCCAAAAGCTCAAGGCCAGAATGATGGATGTGCATGCTCGCGCGTGTTTACATGCATTTCTCGGGAAATTATAATAGCCACAATCGTTAGCGTTCATCCCTTCTGCCCACGCGTGTGAATCTCTAACTTGATACTTTCAACCATTCACCGAAAGACCGTTCTTCGCGTCATGACTTTACTACATAGATGCGCGAATGATTGTGAAAAATATTTAGATAACTTAATTGCTTGTTTTCGTCCAAAGGGGAATTTGAAATATAGAGACAATTCTCTATATGGATGCGCTGAAAACCAGTCCGTTTGGCTTCAACTGCTCTCGCAGAGCTGTTCTCATATAATTGGTTGATTAAAGCACATGTACTATTTCAAGATCTTATACTCGCATACGCATACTTCAAGACAGCTCCGCTCACTCACTTCATCGTTAATTAAAAGTGTAATAATTTTATGATGCTGCTTTTAAATCGAATTCTTGATTACCCACTTAAAATTATACTCGTGGAACAATTGCAAACTCATCAAGTAATCATCTGTATCGATGTCGCGCATCAGCTACAGTTTAGTTGAATGGAAGCCGATGAAACTGTCAGCGCAAGCCAAGGAACAAGTAGCTGGGTCGCTACGACATTGCTCGCGGCGGGAAGTGCCAAAGCGATTAGAACAAAGGAACGCCAGAAACTGGTGCGGAGCGCGACTGGGAAAAGTGCAGAGCCACATTGAGTGGCTTTCAAAATCTCAGCTACGCGCGCGGAAAGCTTTCGGAGTGCGCTTGGTATCGGTCGCTTGCGGTATTCCGACGCTAATCATAGTCTAGGTCGCTACTGGCGAGCACGCAGGCGTACTCGAGCCGCGACGGCACGTGGGACAGCGAGTGCACTCGAGAAGAGCAGACGGCTGTACGGCACAATGAGCGAGATCGTCGTCGCGAATGCTGCTGCCGGTCGCGCACGATACGGTCGATGGTGCGTTATCGCGCTGCATTACCGTTTCTCTTTATCGAGTCTCGCCGGCCTGCATTTGCTTACGCTTCCCTGCTCGGCGCGCGCTCCAGTTGAGCTTCGGTTGAGCTGCGCGCCGTTCTGCCCAAATACAAACCTCTGCAAAAGCTCTCTTTTGCTTCCACTCTATCGATTGGTGGACTGCCTCCTGCGCCGTTTAACGTGTAACTGTGAAACTCGAAAATACAGACGGACTTTTTTTTCAAAATTGCTCTCGTCGTCACGTGCGTGCTTCTGATGTGGATTGGATTTTACGCGCAATATTCTTAAACGTATACAGTACATTTGGAAGGGAAGAGGACACATGCCAGTCTCATGAATAGTACAATGACTCGGAATAATTCAAGTTTTTACGTGCGATCCTTTTGCAGAGCTGTCGAAGAGCGTAAAAACGAAAAACCGAGTGGCAACTTCCGGTCGAGCAAGCCAAGTCCTTGGGTTTGAACTTGGAAAGGAAAGAAGTATAGAGGAGAGGAGAAGGAGTAGAAGCGGAAGAGAAGGTGAAACACGTGTAGAGCAGGCTTTTACGGCTTAAAGTCACCGAACGGGTATACATAGGCGCAGGCCAAGACTCGAGAGCTATGCTCTTTTCTCGCAGCGGCGTTTATTCGTGAGAATGTTGCATAAGCGGACTTGTGTTGCTCGTAGTTTGCATAAATAACCAGCCCGGATGGTTAATGAGTCGACTCGAGGGCCTCTCGCGTCGCGACCAACCTCGCCCATTTTTCCTCTCATTTTTCGTCTCATCTTCTCCACAGCCGTTCTTCCTCTCTCGCTCTCTCGGAGCTCGCGTGATTTTCAGAATAACAAATCGTTACAGCCACTCACCGTTATCTTCGTTAATTCATCGTCGTCCTTGGGATCTTTCAAATGTATTTCGTTATTCCAATCTGCTTGATCAAAGTACTCGATTTAATAGAAAACCGAGTGTACGTCGCTAACGAGGCTGCGGTAATGGCTTCTTCTCAACAGGTGATTATCAGTTGGGAGGTTTGGCAAAGCCAACGGATTTGCATCGACGCGTCAGGGTTCCGTGCCGCGGTCCACAAAGCCAACACGATTACGCGATACATTAAGTCCAGCGGCGAGTGGTGCAATCAATTTGCCTCTTATTTCGTCGACTGGGCGTCGTCGCGGCTGCGAGTTCCGGAATAGCCGGCGCGCGTGTGCAAGCGTGACTGAATTATTTTTTTCGGGCGAGTCATTGGCCGCGCGTTGCGGCGTGAAGCTCGCGAGCGCGCGAGGGTGTGTCTCTCGTGCGCGCGCGTTTTTTTTTTTTTCTCTCCGTCCTTTCGACGCCTGTCGTCCCTTGCGTCCATTTGCCAAATTGATTTCATTACAGGTGCAACGAGCGCTCTCGCGTGCAGCCCATCAGCTCTCGCGTGAATTTCGTTCGAGTGGCCGGCCGGTCGAACTGTCCGAGCCAACGAACCCCTCGGTTTTCAACAGAGACACCGCGCCGTGTTGTCTTAACGGATCAATCGGCCCCTTCGGCCCCTTCGGCCCCTTCGGCCCCTTCGGCCCCGCTTTCTTTCTCTCTTTTCCGTTCCACCTTCATTTCTGTTGGCCACCTTTCGTCGTGACTGCCTCGCCGAGGATGCTGCCGACAGGGGCTGCACGGATCTCACGCTGGCCAGCCGATGCGACGCGCGTGGGTTTTGTCCGGTATAGTCGTTTTCCGCGACTAGACTGCCGGCAGCAGGCAGACGGCATCGCTGGCAGGCAAGTGTGTAGCCAGCCTGCCTCGCGGACGAATCGATTTCGCGGAATAGCTCGGCCGCTTAAAGGCGCGTATTTGCTATCTGGTCAGGTTCAAAGAAGAGGCCGGCGTGGTGGCGAGCGTGCGGCAGCGCTGCGCGTTTCACTGAAGCGAGCAGAATTGTTATTCGCCACGCTCGGTTAGCGGCGCAAGAACCAGTTGCAGAAGTGCGTGCAGCGCGCTCGGCTAACTTGGCCACAGTCGCTGCCCCGATAGCCGTGCAATCGAACAACAAGAGCCACGGCGGCAAGAAAAAGCAGTCTCGACGACTTCGCCGGCCGCAGCGCGAGGCGTTTTAGGAAAAGCCGTGTGCTCGCGGCGGGGGCATCAATCATCACCCGCGCGGACGCGGACCGAGAGCACAGCGCAGCCCGCGCGCTCCTTTCGTAATCATTGAGTTAGCGGGTGATGCCTCTACGTGCGAGCGCTTTGCCCGTCCGAGCTGTTGCAATAAAGCGGAGAAAAAGCGTCGACGTCATTATCGTTAATACGTCGCTTGTCCTCTGGCTGCGCGCGCCTCCGTGCGCCTTGTCTTTCAATAAAATCGTGCAAGCAGGCAGAACCTTCCATTACGAGGACGCGCGCTGCAATAAACACGTGTCTAAACATTACGGGACAGAGGCGCAAAAGAGATATACCTCGAAAGCTTCGGTCGAAGGCCTATTATTGCTGCACGCCAGCGCCGCGAGATAAGAGTGGCATTCTCCAGGGGAAAGCTATTTAGAGGCGTATTGTTGAAATTGTGCAATTAGTCGCTGGAAAAGCAGGCCTTTATCGATCGATTATACCCACCTGAAAAGTATTATTAATTGAAGAAAGCATCGGCTGCGTGCAGTCGTACAGCTGCCAAAGATTTCTCCGAGCGCACATATATTTGGCGCGCCGCGGCGTTGTAGTGCGCACTGTATAAGCAGATACTTGCGCGGGCTTGTAGCTCTCGCTACGAAGGCGCGCTCTCGTGTATGTACTTATACGTACACAGGACATACGCCGACTGTAAACCAGTTGGGAGCCTCGCAGCCGAGGCTAATTAGCATCGGTGATTTACGTATTTATTCTTAACCTTTTCGATTTTACGAGGGCCATTAGATGGCCGAGCGCGTAGCTCGTTTTACGACGTCGCGGCACCTTTTGCGCGCGCGAGCACCCCCCCCCCCCCCCCCCCGCCCAACCTCTCTCACTCTCCCTGATAGCCGACTTTCGAATTTCGAAAAAAAGAAACATTGGATGCGCGACGACTGCATTGCGTGCGTAAAGTTGCTCTTCGCGAAGGAATTGTCAACCCATAAAACGTCCCTAATAAAGCCTCGAAAATGTACTTTTATGACGGCGACATTCTGATGAGAATGAGATGCCATGTCAGCTTGTCGGCGATAAAACTCGTCCGCTATTTAATAACGCGATGTTCATTTACCGCGCGGCTCGAGTCGACTTTGCTGCTGCTGTCAACAGCTGTCATTGGGCCACGACATCAAACTCCGTCACACGTTTGCATCTTTTTGTTTGCCAACTGGACGCTTAGTTTTTCTATTCTAAGCTCATTCGCTAGGAATATTGGAAGTGGCGAAAAGCGTGTCTGCTCCGCGTCGTCGTCGAAGGCATGAGTTCTGAAAAAAAAACCATTAATATTATTACCGCGGAAGGCAGTAACGACAGTTCGTGCGGGTATCATTACAAGCCCGCGAGTGAGCACTGACCACGAGAGATGAAAGATGAGAAAGTGGATAAGGCTTGCGCGACTGTCACGTACGTGCAGTGCAAGCGCGACCTGAAGGAGAGCGAAAGCTGTTTTTCTTCCCATAACACATATAATAAGCAGCCAGCCGAGAGAGAGAGAGAGAGAGAGAGAGGGAGATTGCTCTTGCCTCAAAACTTGTAATACATATTTCAATCGAACGCGTTTTAGCATTAATGTTTTCAAGGCTCAATATCTGTTTTACCCTTAACTTTGTCGTTACAGGCTGACCTGTCCAGAGCCGTACTTTGTAAGCGAGGCTCTCTTCTGCCTGCCAGAAGAGCTCGAGAATACGCGCGAGGTGACACTCTGCGTGATTACCGTTGGAAAATTTATTACCGAGCCTAACCAGGTAAGTTCTAATCAAATATTTCCAAGGACTTGTCGCATTTTGAACAAGCTATATATGATACAAATGAATATTTCCGAGAAAATAAATGCACAATAGAAAGTAAGATTAACCAGGATAGAGAGAGAATAAAGATGCGTAATGTATAGTTCGATAAAATGAAAAGAAATTTGCCGTAAAATTGGTGAAACGATGACGCGAATAAAAGCGAAGAGGACATTTATGAAGGTAAAATTGGCAAACCGAAGATCCTCTCTGGATTATTTGGCTTGGAAAATTAGGAAAAAGAAGATCAGCTTGGTGCCCTTATTAGCTCGGTGCAGGTACACAGACGTAACAGAGCTGGTGCGCAGCTACGCTATCGACAGCCACATAAAGTCACGGACGCGCGCTTGAGTAAATAAGAAAGTGGCTAATTGCAAACGCGTGCTCGTCCGGCTACAACGCTCGGGCTTATCCCGGGCGCCGATTAAAATTATACTCTCGAGCGCGATGCACGCGCAAACTTTGCCATTGCGAGATTCCCCCGCGCAAATATACGGCGCAGAATTTGTTAATAAACCTCGGCGCAAAAATGCTCGCGGATACGCTTAATTGCAACGGAGCCGCGGCGAATTACAGAAACATAAGTCTCCCTGTTCGCGCAAAAAATTATTCATTACTTTGATTCATCGTTAAATTGTTTGTCTTGGCCAATTAGAGACATGTGGTTTGTAATAAGCAACTCGCATATTTCTCTTTGTCTCTCGGCAATTTGCTCGTTAACTGTAAAAATTATCAACATTTATGATTATCTTGGGTACACACGCGCGCGAGCGCGCGCACACATACGCACACACGAGTAATTCCAAGTCGTAATTGGCTATTCATGGTTAGTTAAACTTTCATTAGACAATGCTATAGCAAGACGAGAGAGAGAGAGAGAGAGAGAGAGAGAGAGAGAGAGAGAGAGAGAGTTTTGTCGGAGTTTCTGCCGCCGCGCATTAATTAACCATTCGATCTACGTTGACTTTGCGCGGCAGTGCGAGGAATGCTCGGGAATTTGCGTAAAAGATACATTTGGCTTGCACGTGCGACGGGCGAAGAAGGCGCATTAGATGTGGTCCCCTTTACGGATCGCTAATTAAATGAAACGACTAATTAGATAAGTGATAAAAGGTTATTGCGATCAGAGCTGTGCCTCGTCGTGTTTCTCTCTTCGCCGGTCTTTTCTTTTCCTTTGCAGGGCTTGCCAGCGCCGTCCGTTAGAACGGGGCTTTCTCTTAGTGTATGAGAAAAGATCGAATCGAGCATCGGCAATAGGTATATAAGCAGCGACCTCGCGATTAATAATAAACCCACCTGTGTGTACGTGTGAATATGCATGTGCAGAAGAGAGAGAGAGTCGGTGTGTGATGTACGAAAGGCATGATTCATGTACTGCGAGTGAGAGGGAACAGCTATGGCGCGATAGGCCGTTTTTCGATTGGGATCGGTAAGTGCCTTGCGATTTATGATTTTCATGGGGCACTGTACGCATGGCGCAACAGGATCTCCCAAGCTGCCTCGGAAACTGATTGAATTCGCTTGCTACGCGTCGCACTGCGAGCAAGAGAGATAATGTATTGCGGACGCCAGGTATTGGGATTTCTAATTTTGCCAAGCGAACGCGGCAAAGATCTCTCGAGAATTGGCTGATGCGCAGAACTGAGATATGTCCCTATTTTCGAGAAAGGGATTTTTCTTATTTTTGTTTGTACGAATCAAGTCGTCCCACATACTGTAAATAAACTTGTGAATAACTCGGTAACTACGCTGCACGTGCCTATATGCCGATGGAGAGAGAGAGAACACAGCGGGTCGTGAAAAGTAGAGTAGAGTTGAAAGGAGAATGTTATTATTGGCTCGAGTTTATTTGTCACGTGCAGCGGCAGCAACCATGTCCGCGGGACAGATCTAGTTGTCATCTCGGTTTCGCACGGCTCATTACCTATCTGGGATCCGTGGAATGATATTTATGCCTACTCCATGCCGCGCAAGATAGTTATTATAATTGCTTGTCTCTCGTGTCCTGATTCACGAGGGCGTTCTCTCGCTCTTTGGCCGTTAATCGCGTATCCGCCTGACGTAGCTACTGTGTAGCCTCTGCGTACAATCTCGTGCCCAATTGCATATTACGACATATTCAAATTCTTCTATCCCTCCATATTTACCTATTTATACGTATTGTCGTCAAGGTATCGATTGATAAAATCGATAGATAAAATCTTTGCAAAATATATATATATATATATATATATATATATATTCGATTTCTGGCTAAGTTTGGCTTTGAATTTGATCGATAGTTTTGTATACAAAACAATGAAGAATAATCGAACCGATCAATGTCTGGTCGTCGGATTGTACGCAACAAATTTGTCAGAGGTCCGTCGCACAACGTCGGATTCCATAATTCATCGGCCCCGAGCGAAAGTCTTAATTGAATCGAAGCTTCCGGCAAGATCGCGACCGCGAAAACAGCAGTTCCTTTCGTTGGTCTAGCACTTAACTTTCATTAATTATTGCGGATGCCGTCTGGCTGATTGCAGTCTAGACGAGCTCAAGATACATCTGCGCGAATTGAAAGCCAAAAGCAATGGTTCGCAGCCAGGAATTCGTCGGGATCGCATGCACACGCGCGTGCATCCCCCTTGACGCGTGTGCTACGGTTCCGCAGCAACCCCAACTAATATTAGGAGCAAGACGCGAGAGAGCGAGAGGTCGATCGATGCGGCTTTCGACGAAGCTCTTGTTCAATTATACCAGTACAATTTGTTCGCGCTCCGGAGGACTGAACGAAAGAATGGGCATATATCTCATCTGACACCGCACACACGAGTGCCTCTTTCTTAATTAACTCCTATCTCAAGTTCAACGTGTTCTTAATAATGGAGATCGCGGAGCGCTCATTAGCGGCGTACGCGAGTGCGCACCTTCGACGCCCGGAGCGGTGCCATCGGAGATTCCTAATCCGCTTTGCATTTACGTTTGTTGCGGCAGCTCTCGCTCGTCGCGCCGAGTAGTTCTAAATAATTCAGTAGTATTGTGTACGAATCCCGGGCGTGCGCGCGAGAAGGCAAAGAGCAAGAGATCGAGAACAAGAGCATGCTCTGGTCGTGATGACCATTAATTTAAGGGCTGTATATATCGACCCCCTCTAATTAACATGCTTGTATTTATCGATCGAGCGATGCGGAGCGCCGCCGTTACCGTACAGTTGGCCCTCGTGTGCATGTGTATGCATGCACCGCATGCGGAGAGAGAGAGCGCGCGCGCGCGAGGGCGAGAGGGGGGAGGGGGGGGGGGGGGGGAGGAGACCAGATCCAACATGACGGCGACGCGGAGGCATAAATTATTCAGGCGACGTAGCTGATCGATTAATTTTATTGGTCGTCGCGACTACTACTACCGCCGCCGCGTATACGAGTCCCGGATATGGCTTGCGCCCAAGCCCGATCATTTTCTATTTCTTCTTCCGCGTGTGTGCCTCTGTCGACTATATTATGGCCATACAGCCAAATGAATAAAGCACGCAAGTCGATGTATAAGTGTAGACGCATGTACATTGATTCATCGAGCGGCGAGCTGACGTGCGTAAGGGTCGCTGCTTGGCTTGACGAAATAATGAAAAAAACGGCCGACTACCATCGAGTCATTGATATATTCGCTTATAATATCGTTCGGGCGCAGTTGTAAATTGCACGGTCAGCAGAATTTCAGGTCAACTTGTCAGTAGGTATCGCTGAATCACGCTCGATTCTCCGCTTATACGTGGTCCTCCCTCCCCGCGCAGCCCTTCTTTTCTCGTGTCGATTGCTTTAGTCGTAATCGGCTGCCGCCTGCTAGTTTACCTTCCGCTTGTTCCACCGCTTTTTGCCGTTCACTTACGATACCCCTCTCTGCTTTTTTTCTCTCTCCTTGTTCTTTCTCCCGCGTGATTAAGTAGTTTTCTCGGAATTGTTATCGTGACTTGGCTCCTCTTCACTACAATTCAGCCAAAGAAAGCCCTTTTGGATTTTTACCGAAGAGCTTGATTTGAATTTAATAGCGGCGACTTGCAGTAATCTTCTCTCTTTCCCTCTCCCTTTTGTGTGTGTTATTCAAATAGATGAAATTCATACCTCTGCCCTACTCACCTCATCATTTCAATTTCAAAACGGACGCTGACGCGTCATATGCTGCGACCGAAATAAAATATTGAAGCATCTGCCGTGGCCGAAGAGACGAGGTGAGGGATGCAATTACGTCACGATTTGGTAAAATCTCGTGAAATATTCATCGGCCTCGGTGCAAGTACAAGGAACCGACAGTTCAACGACATCGCAGGCGTTGCACGCGACCGTACGGAGCTTTAGGGTCAATCGGAGAGGGCAGTTGAGTCGCGCGTTCGCGCGATACATCGTCCGCCGAGAGATACTTCCGAATATGGTCAAGCGGTCCTGCTGTCCCTCTCGTCGCGGTAGGAAGAAAGAAGGCGTTCGTGCCGCTTCGCTCGCTCTCGCTGCGGAATGTGACGGCCGATCTAAGGCTATAATCGTTTATTCGCGCGAAGCTGGGGCGACCGCGGCGCTATGTGCATCGCCAATTCGCCGCCGCCGTCACCGCCGACACGCTGCATTCGCTGCTCGCGACCCTTTAATCTCTTGCCGCGCGGCTCTTTCTCTCGCTTCTTTTCACGTGTACAGGTAGGTAGGTAGGTAGGTAGATAGGTAGGTAGGTCCCCGGAGAGCATTGTGCACCGCCACTCGCCACTGCACTCTCCGCGCGATCTTTGCCGTGAGATTGAGCTGTGAATCCATAGCTCGAGCGCACGAAAGCTCGCGCGGGAAAGTGCCATCGACTTGGCGACGCGTACAGCAGGACCCGGCAAAGCGTTTTGTTTTCGCCTTGCTTTTCGTATAAGGAAGAAGGGTCCTGCACTGGCCAAAAGCGCTCTCGCTTGTGCCGTGTACACGTACACGCTGCGCACGCTACATGCGGTT